AACATTAAGTAAGATAACATTCAATCCTGATGAAATTGTAGAGAGAAATGTAGATTTAACCAAATTTTGTGTAAAACAATTTGATCTTATTTATCAAGAGTCTTAAAATGCTCAAGCTCTTTGAACAAATAACTTTATTTTTAGGAATAGCTTCTAAGAAAATAATCAGAAATGTGAACACAGTTTCATGCAAAAAGATATTTATCATAGTATAATTTATAATTGAAAACAACCTAAATATCCAATTATATAGGTGAAAGTGTTGATCTATAACAAATCCATATGAAATTCAGGGCTCCTGCCTGTAGTCATTAAAAATAATTTTGTTACACAGAGATACTCATGAAATGATGGTAGGTGTTAAAAAACAGAATACCAAATTGAATACACTCATAAATGATATATTGAAATAACATTAAAAGACCAATTAAAGGGGGTGCCTGGATGGCTCAGTTGGTTAAGCATCTGCCTTTGGCTCAGGTCATGATCTCCAGCCCCACATCAGGCTTCCTGATCAGCAGGGAGTCTGGTTCTCTCTCACACTCTCCCTCTCTCTGTCTTCCTCTGCCCCTCCCCACTGCTTGTTCTTTCTCCCTCAGATAAATAAATAAAATCTCTAAAAAAACAAAAATAAAAAACAATTAAAATTGTGAAAGTATAAATAATTTTATTTTTTATACTTTTCTATATTTTGCATTTTTTGAAGCCCAATAAATGGTGTTTTTTTAAATTGCCTGTGGATTTTTTATAGTGCTTTCTTTTTTTCCCTACAACTTTACACCATAATGTTTTATTTTTTCCTTTTTCTTAAAACACTTTTTTATTTTTTTTTAAAGATTTTATTTATTTATTCATGAGAGACACAGAGAGAGAGAGAGAGAGGCAGAGACACAGGCAGAGGGAGAAGCAGGCTCCATGCAGGGAGCCCCACGCAGGACTCGATCCTGGGTCTCCAGGATCACACCCTGGCACTAAATCGCTGCGCCACCAGGGCTGCCCTTAAAACACTTTTTTTTAAAAAAAGACTATTTATTTATTTGAAAGAGAGAAAGAGGGCACCTGGGTGACTCAGTGGTAGAGCATCTGCCTTTGGCTCAGATCATGATCCTGAGGTCCTGGGATTAAGTCCCACATCAGGCTCCCTGTGGGGAGCCTGCTTCTCCCTCTCGCTATGTCTCTGCAGCTCTGTGTGTCTCTCATGAATAAATAAAAAAAAATCTTAAAAAAAAAATGAAAGAGAGAGTGCATGTGATCAAGGGGAGGGGTAAAGGAAGAGGGAGAGAAAGAACCTCAAGCGGACTCCATCCTGAGCATGGAGCCCAACATGTGGCTTGATTCCACAACCCTGAGATCATGACCCAAGCCAAAATCAAGAGTCAGACACTGAACCAACTGAGCCCAGGGGACCCTCTTTTTCTTTTCTTTTCTGTAATTTTTCCTGTGGATTCAACAATTCTTTTCTTTTCTTTTCTAAATTTTTTAAGTAGGCTCTATGCCCAACATGGGGCTTGAACTCATGACTGAGATCAGGAGTTGCATGCTTTACCATCTGAGCCAGCCATGTCTCCCATAATGAGTTTTCTGGTGGTGCTCAAAGAATTGTACTTTAGATAATAACTGACAAATACATTTTATATATGAGATAATTTCATATTAAGTAAGTCCGTACTTTGATATATATTATCTTGGAGCGTGACTGAATTCATTGGTAGAGTTTACTTTAAGACTGAAGTAATTTTACAATGTAGTCTGAACTGGCTTGAAACTTTCAGCAGACCCCTCCCATATGACAGCCTAGATGCTTTGTCAAAGGTTCCTGTCCTCTGCTTTGTCTTGGGTCATATCTCTCAGCTCTATCTTTATCTTGCTTTTGGTCTTGCCCGACTTCTATACAGATTCTTCAACTCAAAGCTACATTCTTAAACTTTTCTCTTGTCTGGATGTTTTAACAGTTCCCTGCTTCTCCATTCTGTTCTCTTTGAGACATGGTCCTTTAAAACTTCAACTCAGACCAAGCCCATGTAGAGATTTCCTCAGGCCCTGGGTTTTCTTGGACTTTCACTTGTCCCAGGTTTCCAGGGCTCCTACCTGGCATAGCACTTCCAATAAGCCAATAAGGCACTTTTATTCTTTTATTGGCCTTCTTTCCTTTGCCTCTTTCAGCTTGTTCTCCAAGAAGAGACTCCATGGTCAGTTAAGTTGCCTGGGCCAGCTCCCCATCTAGATATTTGGCACCCTCCAGTGGCCATGGATGGGTGTGCTTTGGCCAGCAGTGAATTTTGGAGCTAAGTCCTCTGGAGCTTCCCCAGGCTGGTTAGTGCCCACCAGTGACAGTTAAAAGGAGCTGCTATCAGAATCAGCTATCAGATCTGGGCAAGCTTTACCCCTGCCTGGTTCCTTGCAATTCACCTCCTGCAACTTGCTGATAGATAAACTCAACAAAGGCCCTCCCTTCCTTTTTCCTATAAATGTATCTGTATCAAGATACTAAAATCTACATTCTCAAAGGAAAAACCTTTTCTGGTTTTGCACTTGGCAGGGAAGTAATAATAAGTACTAACTTAAATGAGTGTCAAATGCTGAGCTAATGCTTCAACCCATTATCACATTCAATCTTCACAATGCTGGGAGATAGTCACCTATCTTTAATCTCCATTTTATAGAGGAAGAAATAGAGGCTTAGATTGGTTACATAAAAGTCAAGGGTAAACCTAAAGGTCAGGATCTCCTTGCTAGTTGATGGCAAGTTTGAATTCAAAACCAGCCTGTGGCCCATACTTCCTAATCACTAGGCCATACAGTCTCTGTAGAAAATTGGGATGCTCAGAGGCCATGTTTTCTATAATGCAAACAAAGATAGTCTGTAGCAAAAATAAAGAATAAAAAACTAGATAGAAGCTGAGAAAACTAGAAGTAGGATTGTAACGGCTTGAGACAGAGGTTCCACTTGTTCCCAAGGCTCAGGAGCATCCATGTCCTTCTCCAAACTTGGTTGTTTCATCAGATACTTAAGTCCTCCCAATAAATTCCTCCTGGTTCAGTTTGATGTGCTTTCTGCCTCTGGCAATGCAGGAGTCCTATTAAAACAGGAAACCAAGAGGGTACTTTTGAAGATGGTCTAGGTATTAACACTTGGAGCAGCATTAGTGTTAAATTATCTGATTCATACCAGGTTTTTTTTTTTGTTTTTAATAAATAAATCTTTATTTTTTTTTATTTTTTTTATTTATTTATGATAGTCACACAGAGAGAGAGAGAGGCAGAGACACAGGCAGAGGGAGAAGCAGGCTCCATGCACCGGGAGCCTGACGTGGGATTCCATCCCGGGTCTCCAGGATCGTGCCCTGGGCCAAAGGCAGGCGCCAAACCACTCGCCACCCAGGGATCCCCCATACCAGGTTATTTTGATTGCAAAGATTGAGTCAGTATACTAAAGCCAGGTTACTCACTACTCAGAGACAAGTCAAAGAAGGGTTATAGAAAAAAACATATATGCACTAAAACCTGAGTAAATTGAACCCCAAGGCCTCAGGAAAAGTTGATACTACATCAGTGGCACTGAGGAATAGTCACTCCCTCACCTCTCAGGGCTTTTTGGCTTCTCAGTGAATCAGAACCACTCTCTCTCTGGACCAGCCTTCTCAAATGACCCGTCTTTCAATTGCAAAAGTAATACTCTAGCCCTTGTTTGTATCTCTTATTGCAGGTTTCCAAGAGAGAAGATATGACTTCTGCTTTTCTTTCTAGACCAAAGTACAGGAGGTGAAGTCATGAGGTATAGTTTATGACCACATGTCCAATCAGCTGTGGTCATGGTCATGTGGCCTACTGTGCACTCAGTATGATCAATGGGTAGGGATTTTACAAGAAGGGGATGTGAGCAGGCCAGTAATAATTGGCATCTATAATCAAGCCTACTTAAATGTAATTTGAACTCCTGCCAGTAAAAAAAAAAAAAAAAAAAAAAAAAAATTAAACATACTACAAAGATCCATTCCCTAAAGACCCTCTCTAATTATCTCAAGTTGGCAAGAGAGTTCACCTTCTGGTGTTTGTAGGCTTGCATGCTACCCTCTAGCTCAAAGTTCCCAGTCCCACCTGCACCTGCCCTAAACACTCTGCATTGAGCTAAACTACTCCACTCACTTGAGAGTCTATTAATTTTTTTCTCCCCTTAACCACACTAAAGACTTTGCTTAGTAAAGCATTTTGAAGATTTAGAAAGTGACTGTTCAGTCTGCTTAGGATTTATATCCCAAACAGATGTGCCAAGAAGTCATAGGAATCAAACTGCTGTTCTGTGAGTAGAATAATATATTAACTTGCCTTGTAGCAGTTTCGATTACACAGCTGTACAAATTGCAATGGAGTCTTCATAACTAAAGTTGCTTTTAGCAAAAGCACATCACTTCTTCAGGATGGAAGTTTTAACATAGCAGGCATCTTGAAGGGCATGCATCCTCACAAAATACTTCTCATTATTTGAGAGAAAATCATCTAAGAAAATGAGGTACAGTAGTACTTAACTTACCTTGAAGAATACTCTGCTCTTCATCATAATAGCTGAACTGGTATTATTTTGTGATGAAAATAAGGAGATCCTAAATAATGGCATCATCATCTTACACTTTTAGTCTTTCTGAGACTGGTTTCTTAACTGGTTTCTTAACTGTTAAATCACGATATCAGTACCCATATTATAAGGTTGTAGTAAGGAGCCAATGAAAGCTTTATAAATAGCTCAACTGCCAACCATAGTAAACATTCAATAAATGTTAGTTACCATAATTATTATATTTTGTTTCTCATCTTACCAAATTAAAATGTGTTTTTTAGTACAGTTTCTCATTTTATCCTTTCAACCTATGGGTAGGTATGGTACTAAGTATATTCCCATTTTATAGTAAAATTAACAGAAACAGGTTAAATAGTTTAGGATAATTTTTTCCAAGGTAACATAGACAATAAATTCACATCTTTGACATGCTTTTTTTTCTTCACATCAGTTGGGTAATGTGCCAAGGTCATAACAAGGTTTGAGGGAGGCACATATCCCTGACGGCATGAACACCAATCATCAGGCTCATGAACTACAAAAGGATTCCACATCTGTGACTTCTAATCGGATGTTCCTTCTGCACAGAACTTAATTTCTGTGACTGGGACTTCAGTGAAAGGAGGTCAATATTATACCAAAGGAAGAATCTTCCACAACTTTCATCCAAGAATTGTTACTTGGCTAGAAATGTGTAAACTCCTTCTGGCAGCCTGGAAAACTAGATAACCTGAGGGCCCATTAACTATGAGATAATTAAATCCTGATTTGAATCAAAACTAATATGCACTTTAAAGTTTTGCTGGAATTGCACTACTGGGTATTTACCCCAAAGATACAGATGTAGTGAAATGCTGGGACACCTGCACCCCAATGTTTATAGCAGCAATGTCCACAGTAGCCAAACTGTGGAAGGAGCCTTGATGTCCTTCGACAGATGAATGGATAAAAAAGATGTGGAATGGAATATCACTCAGCCATCAGAAAGGACAAATACCCACCATTTGTTTCGACCTGGATAGAACTGGAGGGTATTATGCTGAGTGAAGTAAGTCAATCAGAGAAGGACAATCATCATATGGTTTCACTTACACAGGGATTATAAGAAATAGTGAAAGGAATTACAAGGGAAAGGAGGGAAAATGAATGGGAAAAATCAGAGAGTGTGACAAAACATGAGAGACTCCTAACTCTGGGAAATGAACAAAGGGTAGTGGAAGGGGAGGCGGGTGGGAGGATGGGGTAACTGGGTGATGGGGCACTGAGGAGGGTACTTGATGGGATGAGCACTGGGTAATATGCTATGTGTTGGCAAATTGAACTTCAATAAAAAAATAAATAAATAAAATAAACTTTTGCTGGGTTTTGATGAAAGGGGTCAAAAATAAAAAAAAAAAAAAGTGAGCTGAAACAAGAACAGGAGCAATAAGCAAACATAAAAGCCAGAGCTGTCGTGGGTAAGCGCCAGTATCGGCTCAGAACAAGGAGACTGAGCTTGGAGGCACACTGCAAAGTGTGGAAATTAAACCTGAGATTCCTTCCTCTTTTGAGCCTGGTTCTGCAAGAGGAGCTTCAGAGATACCTGATCAGTTGCATCTCAGACCTCCTCTCAGAAACAAATGCAAGTACTCTAGAGTAAAGCAACGCCCAGTTAAATCCCTGGGATTTTGATATATTAAGTTCAAGAAAATATAAGCTCACAATTTAAAAAAATCACCAACACATAAACCACCATGAGTTAAGGCCAACAGAAACAACAAACAACAATTTATAAGAATTGAAGAACTAGAATTGGAATTGTCATTTACAGGTAATTAAATAACCTTTTATGAACCATTTTTAAAAATCAAACATGGAATGAAATAGATTTAGAAACAAGAGACCAGAAAATTAGTAAAAGAACCAAATATGGGCAGCCCAGGTGGCTCAGCGGTTTAGCACTGCCTTCAGCCCAGGGCGTGATCCTGGAGACCTGGGATCAAGTCCCATGTCAGGCTACCTGCATGGAGCCTACAGCCTAGAGTACACAAACCTCTGCCTGTGTCTGTGCCTCTCTCTCTCTCTCTCTCATAAATAAATAAAGTCCTTAAAAAAAAAAGAACCAAATATTACTTTTTGGCCTAATAGCTATAGATTTTGAAATTAACAACTCAGTAAATTTATTAAAAACAATAAAAACAGCTGAAGACAGGTTTAGTGACCTGGAGGTTATATCTGAAGAAATCACCCAGAGTGTAGCACAGAGTATAACAGATGGGAAATATGAAAGAAGGGCTAAAAGAGATGGAAGGTAAAACAAGGTTTAACATGTTTAATCAGAGTTCTAGAAGTAAGGAATAGAGAAAACAGGAGAAAGCCAATATTGAACGAGATAATGGCCAAGAATTTTCCTAAACTGACTAAAGATAAATCCACAGATAGAGAAAGCACAGCATATTTCAAGCATGATAAATAAAGAAAAATCCACACCAAGACATATTGTGATGAAATGGCACAATACCAAGAAACGAAGACCTTAAAAATCCCAGAGAAAAAAAGCCAGGGCACCTACAAAGAACAAGCAAAAAGCTACCAGAAGACTATTTTTCTTTTTTAAAAAAGGAATATAACAATAATTTATTGGTGTTCACAACAACCCTCAACAGTAGTTATCATTATTATTTCTATCTTAATGTAAGGAAATTCTGGCTGAGAGGGAAAGCCCAAGGTCCTACAGATATACAGCAAAAAGGATGTAGCTTAGAAATGCAAGAATGAGTGGAAAAGTAGGTCATAAAACACTGCTTCAGCCATATGCAACAACATATGAATCTTAGGACATAATCTTAGGATGAATCTTAAAAACATAACACTGAGTGAAAAAAGCAGGTGGCAGAACACTATATACAGAATACCATTTTTGTAAAGTTCACAAACAAAACTAAATAATATATTGCTTAGAAATACATGCATGCATGATTAAATGATCTTAAAAAGCAAGAGACTAATTGCTATAGACTGAATACTTTCATACCCCCAAAATTCACATGTCAAAACCAAATTCCCAATGAGATGATATGAGGAAGTGAGGCCTTTGCGATCAGATCATAAAACCAGAGCCCTCATGAATGGAATTGGTGCCCTTATAAAAGAAGCCAACAGTGCTCCTAAGTAGTTCCTCCTACCATGTGAGGTTACCACGAAGAGATGGCTGTGCATGAACTGGAAAGCGGGCTCTCATCAGATGTGGAGGCTGACCATGCCGGCACCCCGGATTTGGACTTCCAGCCTCCATTCCAGTGGGAGATATATTTCTATTGTGTGTAAGCCCTCACCTGTGCTATTTTGTTATAGCAGCCTGAACAGACTACAACAGGAAAATACACAAACTTCCAGATAGTAGTTACCTTTTCAGAGATGTAGCAGAAGAATGGAGCAAAGAGAAGCAGGGGCTGCAAAAAATAAAGGTAACGTTCTAATTCTTAGACCAGTGGTAGGTAACAAGTATTCATTTCACAGTTGTATTAACACATATGACTTCTATTCTTTTCCGTGCATCAAATGTTACATAATAAAAATAAAATAAAATTGCCAAAGGACTAATTTTAACTGGGTTTTTACAATGTATATTTAAAAACCAGTGCTTAATCCTCCTGGCTGATGGTTGAGGGATATAATCAGCCTCCAGAGTTTAACTGCCAAATTTTTGTAGTGAATCACAAAACGGCTTCCTACATAATTAATGGAAGACAATGATAGAAGTCATTACTGGCTTGGGATTTTAAATTTCTGGTCTTGTATGTTCTCTCCAAATGAACAGTCTATTCACACAGCTCTAATAAGAGGTGTACTATTTACATTATTTGTATGGCTATCTTTAACCTTGTATTCTAGATGGTGAAGAACAATTTCAATATAGGAAAAATATGTTAATAGGATAACTACATTAGAAAAAACTAGTTTAATTTTATGTTTGATGTCATATAATTAAGTTGGTAACAAGAGAAAAATTTGATGTACTCTTTTTTTGTGTAATGGGATTATAAAATAAATTCACTTTCTCATATCCAAAATTTTACAAACCAGTTTGCCCAATTTTATTTTATTTTTTAAAGATTTATTTATTTGGGATGCCTGTGTGGCTCAATGGTTGGGCACCTGCCTTCCGCTCTGGATGCGATCCTGGAGTTGTGGAGAGTCCCTGCAAGAAGCCTGCTTCTCCCTCTGCCTATGTCTCTGCCTCTACCTCCCTCTCTGTGTTTCTCATGAATAAATTTTAAAAATCTTAAAAAAATAAAAAAGATTTATTTGAGAGAGAAGCACCAAGGTGTGGCAGGAAGGGGCAGAGGAAGAGGGAGAGAGTCTTATTTCTTAAAATTGTATTTAAATTCAATTAATTAATATATAATGTATTATTAGTTTCAGAGGTAGAGGTCAGTGATTCATCAGTCTTACATAATACCCAAGTGCTCATTATATCACATGTCCTCCTTAACATTCATCACTCAGTTACCCCACCCCCCCACACCTCTTCTGGAGAGAGTTAAGCTCAGAGCCCCATTCAGGGCTGGATCTCACAACCCTGAGATCAGAACCTGAGCTGAAACCAAGCTGAAACCTGAGCTGAAACGCTTAACTGACTGCACCACCCAGGCACCCCAATTTAAAATGTTTTATCCTATTTTCTATATTTCCTGCATACCGCAGTAGTTTGTAATTATCATTAAAACATTTTTGAACTGGATGAGTTATCTGGCGAAACACTGAGTTTTACTTGTTTTGGGTGATTGTGTATGTTTAATGCTATAATAGAGGTCTTTTTAAGCTTCTCCTAATCAAAGCCCATAAACTTGATCTTCCCCAAATCTCAACATGTTATATTATCTTAGTACAGAAAAGTGTTTCCTAAACACAGTACATGCAATTTTCCCTTCAAAAAAATTAAGATTGTTTTCATAGGAGTAAATCAGCTAAGCAGTTTATCAGGTTTAATGCATTATTAATTGGAAGACATGATTTAAAAGATATCTGTATAATTTTTCAGCCCTTTGAATAGTAATACAATCTGAAATTAATAATTTCCTAGAAAAGTAAAAGGGAATTTCCCATAGGTAATTAGAATAAGCTCTCAAAATATATCCCTGTTGAAATCTATACTTACTAATATGTCAACCTTAAACTCTCCTTTTATAGTTTTTTTTAAAGATTTTATTTATTTATTTGAGAGAGAGAGAGAGTGTGTGTGTGTGCGCGCGCGCGCGCGCGCGCGCGCGCGCGCACACAAGCAGCAGGTGGGGCAGAGGGAGAAGCGACTCCCCGCCGAGTAGGGAAAGTAACATGGGGCTCAATCTCAGGACTCATGACCTGAACCAAAAGCAGTCACTTAACCACCTATGCCACCCAGGCACCCCTCTCCCTCTATAGTTTTTTAAGAATTTTATTTATTTATGTACTCTTTTTAAGTAGGCTCCCGGCCCATTGTGGGGTTTGTGTTTGTGACTCTGAGATCAAGGGTTACATGTTCTACTGGCTGAGCCAGCCAGGTGCTCCCTCATTTTTTCAGTTTTT